AGAGAGAGAGAGAGAGAGAGAAACAAAGAGAGAGAAAGAGAGGGCCTCGGAAAGTTGTTTTTATATAATATATATTTTTCTTTTACTGGACTGTCTATCAACTGAATATTTCTTTTCACAGGAAGAGGGGGACCTACTTGAGAATGCTGAGGAGGAGAGAAAGAAGAACAAACAAAGACTGAGGGCGAAGAAGATGAAAGAAAAAGAATTCAGCTCCCCCGTCAAGACCAGCGAAGAAATGACCGTTGCCTATGAGAACGCCCAGAAGGAAATTGACAAAGTCCTTGGACCCAGGGATAAAGTGGAGGAAGAGGAGGAGGAGAGGAGGAGAAAGAAGAAGTAAGTAGAGGAGCAGAGGAAGAGAAAGGAAAAGTAGGAACAGGAAAAAAGAAGTAAGGAGGAAGAGAAAGAAGAGGTTAGGAGGAGAGGAAGAGAAGATGAAGTAAGGAGGAAGAGAGAAAGAGAAAGATGAAGTAAGGAGGAAGAGAGAAAGAGAAAGATGAAGTAAGTAGGAAGAGAGGAATAGAAAGAAGAAGTGACCTCAAAGTCCCATAATATGTAAGCAAGGAGAATGAACTGTATGATTATGATAGATGTTTTGTGTTGGAAAATAAGTAGATCTAGACAGAATGTGTTGTCTCATCCTTCAAGCGCTGTCTTCCCGAGCTTTGTATTTTTTCTGCATTGAGCCTTTAAAAAAAAGTGAAATGTCCCAGTTTGTATATGTCTGTCTGTCCCTTTAATAGAAAACTAGATTTATTTGCAACAGTGAAACGTTTTTTGGCGCTTACATGACAAAACTGAGTTGATTGTGCTAGATATATAGTAGAGGGTTTTACGGCGCTCGCAACTGCATAAGGTCATATGAGCGCCAAGGGGTGGGTGTCAACTGAGAAGTCTATACAGGGAATCAGACTTAGACTGCTCACCTCTCTAGCTTCAACAGCACAGGGTCTGCTTCGACTATCAAAGCACCCCGGAAATAGCAGGTCACAAGAGAGTGACAAACTTACAGAAGAAGTAGAGGAAAATGACAATAGTAAGGATCAGGAAAGAAAAAGCAGCAGTTCCCTG